AAGTTTCAAGCAATTGATTCCCACACCAAACTTTTGATTCGGCTCAGAAATGTTCGTAGACGCCAGTTTCAGCGGACTGGGGATCTGCAGCGTAAATACGAAATGGTCGATCTGAATCGGCAGATTGCTTCCAGAATGGTCTCAATCCGGAACGAGAGTTTCGGGCGGCTCGTTCAGAACCTGGACGACCGTTCCAGACCATTCTGGAAGGTTGCCAAGGTGCTGAAGTCTCACCCCAAGCCCATTCCACCACTTAGAGTCAATGACGAACGGCTTATCACCAACGAAGAGAAGGCCAATGCAATTGGGGAGCACATTGCCCAGTCGCATTTGCTTGGCTCTACAATCCCAAGTCCACTCGAGAACCAGGTTGTGCAGTGCGTCCAGACGTTAGATGCCTCCCCTTGTGCCGTCCCTCCAGAAGAACGGATTACAGAGGAACAAATTTGCTCAGCGCTGAAACACAGTACGAACATGAAGGCTCCCGGGTTTGACGGAATATTCAACCTAGAGTTGAAAAATCTCAGCGCGAGGGTGCACTCGCTGCTGGCTGCCATCCTCAACAGATGCTTGGAGCTGCACTACTTTCCAAGCATCTGGAAGGTGGCAAAAATCATCCCGATCCGCAAACCTGGGAAAGACCCTTCACTACCGTCAAGGTACAGACCGATTAGCCTGCTCTCAGCGCTGAGCAAGCTGTTCGAAAAATTGATCCTCAGCCGACTAAACAAGTTTGTGGAGGAACATGACATTCTTCTTCCGGAACAGTTCGGGTTCCGCAAGGGGCATTCCACCAATCATCAGCTAGTGCGGGTGATGAATAACATCCGAAGTAACAAAGCTGTATCCAAGTCCACAGCCATGGCCTTGTTAGACGTCGAAAAGGCGTTTGACAATGTCTGGCACGACGGACTTATATACAAGCTTTGTAACTCCAACTTTCCACCATACCTTGTGAAAATCACCCGTAACTATCTCCAGCAAAGGTCGTTCAGGGTGTCGTTGAATAGTTCCCTTTCGGGACAATTTCCGATCCCAGCAGGTGTTCCGCAAGGGAGTCTGCTGGGACCACTGCTTTACAGCATCTACACGTCGGACATCCCTCCTCTAGGAGACGGTTGCGTGTTCTTTCTGTTTGCAGATGACACCGCGATAGCCGTCAAGGGTAGGATGCCTCGTGAAATTACGAACAAGCTCCAACGATGCCTTGACACCTTTACTGATTATGCCACCACGTGGAAAATCAAAATCAACGCCTCGAAAACCCAAGCGATCATGTTCCTTCACAGACAATCATTAAAACTTAAACCGTCTCCCTCCTGTACCGTAATAATGGATGGTACAAGGGTCGAGTGGTCCACTGATGTTACTTATCTCGGGATGTTGTTCGATGAGAAGCTCCTGTTCCGCTCGCACATAGAGAAAACCCTAGTTAAGTGCTCCGCCTTGGTTAGGTGTTTGTATCCGCTCATTTGCCGCAGATCCCGCCTCTCAAGGCAAAACAAACTGGCTGTTTACAAACAGATCATAGCCCCAGCGATCTTCTATGCCGCCCCGGTGTGGGAATCGTGCGCTCAGACCCACAGGAACAAAATCCAGGTTGCACAGAATAGAGTGTTGAGGATGATCCTAGATCGTCCATTCGACACAAGAATAGCAGACCTCCATCAAGAGGCAGAAATTCCCAAAGTAGATTCCAAAATTGATGATATGACAACTAAATTTATTCAAAAATGCAATCTTTCTGAACATGCTTTAATAAGCAATTTGTACATAGTAGGTTAAGTGTATATAGTAGAGTAGGTTAGTTTTAAGCTGTCAATAGTAGTATTAAGTAGTTTCTCTTCAAATTCTAAAAACAAAACAAACCAATCCCACCAAGGTGGTCGACCGTGTACTAAGTCTAGGACTAATTCTGTAAAACAAATTTTGAATTTTGCCCATACCTAAAGATGAAGAAAGCAATTAAATCACTTAGTAAAAATTTATATGGTAATCGTCCAAGTTAAACTAAAATAAAGATCATTTAAACTAAACTGCTTTTGCTCATTTTCGCTTCGGACGGCGTGGCACTTGGTCCTGCAGTAAGCAGGACCAAATCAGCGGCTAAAGGTGGATCACGGCGTGACCACAATAATGATGTAAACCCCCTCCCCCTTTCACAACAACCTCTCCCCCTCCTCCTTCACAACAATCTCTCCCCCTCCGCCCTTCACAACAATCTCTTCCCCTCCCCCCTTCACAACAATCTCTCCCCTCCCTCAACAACCTCTCCTAACCCCCCACCACCACTCATCAACAACCTTTCCTAACCCCTCCCCCACTCATCAACAACCTTTCCTAACCCCCCCCCCCCACCCCTCATCAACCTTTCCTAACCTCCCCCCCACCCCTCAAATACCGCTCCTAACAAATCAATATCTATGTGTCGGCCACATACTTAAAATATGTACATATAAAAACCATGCGTGACCACACATACTATTCATTTGCGTGTAAATTTCATGTGTACTTCTGAGTGGATTCTGTTTATGTGTGGTCAAATGAAAATCATGTGGAATTTCACATGGATATTTGTAAAGAAAAATGTGTGATTTGTTTTGAGTCAACCATAACCGAAACATTGAAATACTTGAAAATTTTAAGATAAAGTATAATAGTCAAAAATGCATGAAAAACATCAATTTTGTGTGGTTCTACGTCATACTGCGGTCGTGTCTAGGACACAACCCTTTACTTTTTTTTTTTTTATTATGAAGATTTTTAGCCATAGGCTAGTTCATCTCTTAACCGGTACAAGTGCCTTGTTTGCTGCTTTTGGTGTTTTATATCGAGCACTGGTACGGAGCGTACAACTCAATGCTCTTGGTGGTGTGTAAAAAAGGCAGTACGCAGAGAAGTGTTGCGTTTAGACATGCCTGGTAAGCACTTCCACTTCAAATTTTCACTTACACAAATCTCGGAAATTATTGCCCAATTTCACCTGAAACTACTACTTCGTGTATGCTGCAGTGCAGCAAAAGTAAAGTAACAGTTTCATCACAGACAAACAGACATAACACTCACAAGTTGTTCATCGGACACGCACTTGACGGTCAATTTAATAGTATTTCAGTTGGTAGTACTGCCCCCTGTGGCACGCATAGTCAATTCCCTTGCGTTTGACGTTTACACACTACCGCCATCTGTTCAGCATACTGCCCACCACAGTGTACTCAACAGATGGCGGTAATGTTTCAGCGACGATGTTTTACAGTGAGAAATATTACATGTGATATGTCTGTTTGTCTGTGGTTTCATTGTGGTACGTGTCGTGGAAGCTGATATTTGTGTACTTTCGAAGTGGTTACGAGAATAATTTTTTTTTTTTTTTCTTTATTTAAGAGATTTTTAGCCTTAGGCTAGTTCATCTCTGGTTACGTGAATAAGGATCTCACAACAAATCACCTTAAGGCATTTCCTAAAACAAATCATAACGACAAAAAACACAAGACAAAAACGATCTGAAAACTTCTTACTTGCTCAGCCTTCATCTCCTACATAATTAAATCGAACTCATTTCGAAAATGTTATGAATCAACACACCACTGAATTCAAAATATTAAAACTGTGTACCGTCTGAAATCCGTACACCTAAGAAATGAATCGAAATCCGTACATACCATACAAAACGCCTACTTTTTGCATGAGGTGCACGGACTTAGATCCTGCACGGTACTGCTATCTGTGCAATACAAGTTAGTTGGTACAACGCTCTAAATTGGCCATAACATATTAAATAGACAATGCATCCCAAAGTGGACGGATCAATACCGAAAATCCCACGACCAAACCTTAAGAATGTCGCACCCCAGAGCCCCCACGGTGCACACTTAGTGAAGACACTTAAGTTGGTTGATACAGTATACATAAATCAAATGTTCTAAATTGGCCATATGGGAATATTGAACACTATAAGGAAGCAGACCGCTATAAAGGACGTTCCTACACCACAATAAGAAACCACTAACCGTATTGTGCTTCCTCTAAGCGTAGAACCAATCCCTAAACCTAAACCTGTTCTAATCCACCTGAAATGACTAACGAATGGAGGACTTTGACTACCCAGCCATGCAATAGTCTCATTCCGTGCCTTATGGCAACTTGATGATTCTATTGCGCTCATCTTTTGGCACCACCCAGGAGAGACTTGGTCCTGTACCCAATACTTAACTTATTTCCATTCCACTCAGCACTCGCAATTTCTTGTGATATAGTGGGCGGAATATTATTATATGAGACAATTCAATGCAGACGTCTTTCCAAATTTGGCAGATCGACAGGTAATCGGTAAGTTACCACGATGGTTGCTAATCAACAACTCGACAACATCTCATCGTCAACGCCTGCTATGAGAATTTCCCATTGCAAACAATAACGAAATAACGTCATCGAGCTATCGATCAACTACCTTGGTTACCACCTGGTACCTTATAGCACGATGCTAGGAGGCGGACCGGAAGAATCGATGAGCAACCACCCCTTATTTTTATAAATATATTCTATTAGCAGTTTTGTAGTAATAAAGATTAAAACATTTTGCTTTAAAGAATAATTAATTCAATTCTATTGATGTAACATTAGTATTACATATGAAGTGCTGTTATTCAACTATGTAGCCTTAACTATGCATAGATACGAGTAATGTACCAGAATCTAGACGGACACTTGAGCCTACCCAGGGGAGGACCCGCATGCGACCACCCATGTGAGTCGAGAGCATCGCACAAGCTGACAAGTGCAACGGGAAGGACGGTAGGTGCATAGACCTGGGGGTTGGTCCCTAGCTACGTCAACTTAGCGGAAGGCACGGGATATGCACTGAATAATTACAATTACAGAAAGCACGGATTATCTTCTTACCTATTTCTGTTAGTAAAGTGATACCAGAATGTGAGTAGAAAATACATTATATTCAAGAAATCATTTATTTTTAGAAACTGTTCAGAATAAGTCCCGACATACAATGTTCCAGCTTAAGGTGTTAATGAAAATCTTATGCCTTCTTATAAAATGTACTCATGTAGTTCATCGTGTTCCGGTGAACAACCATACCATCCTGTATTTTTCTCGACAATTCTGCATTTTCATCAAGCGAAATCTTGCTTCTTGCGGCATCCAACTCGGCGTAGCTTACATTGCTTAGGTCGGACATAAGCCCAACCGATTGCAAATCCTCGTCACACACAATCAGCTCATAGCTTCCCTTATTATCCTTCCTGGCGGTCCGTCCTTTTATTTGGGTTTCCTCCTTGATATCCATCGAAAAGAACGTTTGAACGACGTGCAATCCGCCGTTCTTCTCCACAGTCACGCTGGACTTGTAGTCGACTCCTCGGCCCATTCCACGGGTAGCCAAAGTGATTGTTTTGGCCACTCCTGCTTCGTTGATGAACCTTTCTTTGTCTTCGGTGTTCTCGGTCAGCACGTTCACTCGATCTAGCTGTCCCGCATATTCTGTTTCGAATGCATTCAACTCGACGTCGGTATCGAAGAAGATGATCACCGCTCGATTGACTGCGATGATTTGATTAGCTTGGCTGAAGATGTTGGTTCTCCAGGATGGTTTCGTGGCGTGGTGGTGGAAATTGACGATTTCGTCGAACTGGAGGTTCGAGCAGCCGAAGAACGTTGGCATCACGGAAATTTGCTTGATGTTGTACAAACGTTCAATTGTATCCTTTTCATATCGATTCAGCGAAGTCAGAGTTCCGGAGACACCGATAATGAGCGGGTAGTTCTTCGGGAGCATGGCGTAGGACAAGGAACCACAGCAGATTTTCAAATACCCATAATTTTTTGTCCCATTCACCTTAGTGACGAAATTTGTCTTTTTCAATCGGAAATAATTGAAAACATTGAGATAACCACAAATAGTATGAGACACATACATTCCTCGATCATAATAGGTAATTACTCCAGCGGAGTTCAATTTAAATTCTGCGCAAGACCATCCATTATTGACATTTACGGCGTCGTCTATCATCATTCTAACATGATTGTCAAACAATGTCTTATTGGTGTAAGTTATCTGTGTTCCATCAGTTTTAATCAAACTGTAATTATTTGGTCTTTCGAGAAATTCGAAAAACCTTCCACCTTGCTCTTTGAATTCCCCACTTTGAATATACTGTCGAATACGACTTTCTACATCCGTCCAACCAGCGACAACATACTTCCATATTTGCTCCTGAATAAGATCCAGTCCTGGAATCAAAGGTGTGCATCCTGGGTTATATGTATTGCCATAAAATTCTTTCGTAAAGAATACATCGACCTCGTCCAGCAGCAGAATATTTTTACTCGAATCAGCCATGACGAGTTGATGTGGAAGAATAGCCTTTTCTTTGAACAGTAAATCTCTTACCAGACCTCTGAGTTCAATTGTCTGACCATCAACCTTCGGAGCTATGATTTCATTGGCTAGTTCATCGAAGGTGCCGTATGTTACATCTTCAGCAACATCAAACGTCTCAAAAAAAGTGAGAAAGTCCTGCTCATCTCGCTTGGCCAAATACTTGCTGTAACAAGCAATGCGAACTCTATGACCGGTCAGTGCAAATAGTGCCGCGAGAAGTCCCAAAACCAACGATTTACCCTGTCCTGTCAACACTTGAGCCAAATGTTTGTCGATTCCTTCGTCGGCTTTGTCAGCGCTCAGCAATCGTAGGATGCACAAAATCTGGATACAATGAGGATTGAAGTACTTTCCTGCTTTGGCCACGTCCTTTGATACCAGAATCGACCACACTGCAGCCAATCCAGCAAGCATTTTGGGAACTTGGTCTTGCTTGAAGCGATCGTCCCACGCCTTGAAGTGAGTAGTATCTGAATGCTGATCTTTCACCTTCTCTGCGATGAGCGCTGCTCTTTCGGAGTGCTCTTCGTCTACGGACAGCTGCATAAATTCCTCGAAAAACTTTGAATACATCGCGTACGACTCGCGGAGCAATTGCAAATCGTGTGTACTGTTCAACTCGTCATACAGCTGCAGCGCGTCTTCGAAGCTGATTTCGTTCTGCTTCCTAATGTACCAGAACGACTCCTTGATGAGGTAGATACGGTTCGAGAAGTCCTGTCGTGAAGTGGTGGTCTCGAGAACGCTGATAAAAGGTTTTACACGTTCGTCGTAGAACAGATCGAACGAAACGTAATCGATCTGTTCTTTGAGGTAGAGCAGCGAATTTCTGATTGCAAAAATAAGTTCGTTAGTGGACAGTATTTGGTCCGTATCCGAAAGATTTTCATCAGTTGCCCAGGAATTCCGCTGCAGCTGCGAGCCGATGTGCTCAAGCAGAGCTTGAATAACCTCAATTACGTAATGCTTCGGTACAGCTACTGTTATGCCTAATCCCTTACACAATGTAGGAAACTTCTCTGGATTGAGTACCCGATAAGTTCGATTGTTCGTATCCTTCCATTTGTTATCGACCAATTCGACTTTTCCCAGATGTATAACCGATTGCATGTCGAACTCGGGAATGTCTTTGATGTACCATTCAAAAGAAACTTCGTTGAGATCGATGAGAAAGTCGTTGTACGTACGGCAGAATGCCACCATCGTATCCACCTCAACGTTCTTGTCCAAACCGATCTGCATGATTTCCATCAAGCGTTCTTGCAACAAATTTATCTCCGGGAGGTTTATCTTCGTCGAAAATTGATCAATGATGTCACTTCGAGTATTCCAAAACCGGTTGAACACATCCACCTGGTCGCGAAAATTGTTCGAAGAGACGACGGTCTGATTGGTTTTGAAGCTGAAAATATTCAGTTGTTTCCGGAGAACAGCCTTATCCAGCGATGTCCTGTTATGATACGAGCAGGATTGGGCGATGAAGCGAATTAGATTATGCGTGACAACGCGCAGAGTTTCCATCTGATCATACTTTGCGTCACGAATCATTTGGACATATTCTTCGAACACATTATCGAACGAATCGAGCTCGCAGCCATTTGGTAGAACATGAAACAAGACATCATCCAACAGACAATACCAAACGTAAAAGTCATCTGGAACCCCAAATGGATTCGGTTTGTAACTACTATACCCGAAAAATCGTCCAGTTCGAACTAACGCATCCTTGACCCCACTCAAAACTCCTCGGGAAGATGACTGGCCGTTGTTGAATAGTTGCGTCTCGTATGGGAATGGATGTAGACCGAAATCAGACGCCACCTCAAAATGCTTTAGGAGTCGAAAAATGAAATGGTACTCCCTTTGCAAACACTTTGTGAATGCGTTCTCCGTTTTCCAGACGAGCAATTTGATAGGGTGCCACCCCAAATTAGAGCTCGTCAATAAATCCGTTTCTCGTTGATCAGTGCGCTCGGTAATCTCGATAATCACCTCCTCCAAGCTCTTGCAAATGAAAAATAAACTGACACTAGTCAATTGCAGAGGTTTGTCGAGGCGATTGTCCTTGATCGACTTGACTCGATTGATCCAACGGTTGGCTAGATCTTGAAGGGGTTTGTCGAAAATTTCCGGTTTCAGAGCGCTGGTCATATCAGTAAACAGCTTCACATCGCTACTGCTTATCAACATCAAATGCTTCAGGCTAATGGTGCCGAGTGGTTTATGCAAATACGCTGGTGCTTTCGTAATCAACTTGTTCCTGTGAAGCTCAGCAATCTCCATTACCAATGCGTCCAGCCGCACGAAAAGATTCGGAGAATTGTCCTTTGGAACGTGCCTGAATCGACGGAATAATCTCTCCCTTCGAGACGCTGTCCGCTCTATACTGTCCAATATTTGGGTATACCTTTGCAGCGTTTCGTTCTTAAACCGATTATTCATGACCTCACGGCAGAGATCAAAATAAGTCAGACTTCTGCATTGTTTGGATTTCTCGACTAATTTCAGCAGCTCGATTCTCGTGTTGACTTGCCCTTCGTCTGCAGCCAATTGTTTGATCACATTTTCCAAGCTCGTTAGAAATAGCTCCCGGTGCTTATCCCTGTCTGTGGTCACTTCATCCAGCAACACACGATCGACGCGAAGTTCATCGAGTAGCACTTCAGTCGCATGTCGAAAGTTCCGTGTATCAATCAGCAGGTGCGGTCGGTTGAGCTTCACTATTGCCACAAAGTTGTCATCGGTAACCATCAGCGATCCTTGATTGTGTATGACGATATTCAACTGTTCGTATGTCAGTCGAGCTGAGAAGCCAAGTTGTGGCATATTGACCGATGAGGGTCGCTTTGCCTTGATGTACTCTTTCCCGTTATGATTTGAAAATTTTCCCATCGATTCCAGAGTAACTTTTTTCGCTTTGTTATTCGCCTGATGCTTGGGTGCCCCTTTGGCCTTGTCCTGAAAGGAATAATACAACAATCTTTTTAGTACCGGTTGGCCAGTGAGTTCTTGATTTTAAATTACCGGTTCATATTTCAAAAGTTTACCGGTTTTACAATAAATAATAATAATAATACCCTTAATGTTAGTTTTCACGGAGGAGAACGGTAAAACGTAACTTACCGGCACTACCATGTAACTTGAAGCTTTTTTAACGTCACCTGTCAGTGGATACGATAGAGTTCTCTTCTCACCGGAGTCTGCCATTTTTTCCTCGCTTACATCATGAAGTGTGCAGCTCTGTTCATTTAAGTCTACGATTATAACAAATAATTAATTTCAGCTATGTCTGGTAGGTAAGTAATGTAAATGTTCTCACTTGTGCTAATAGTAGCAATAAAATCGCCAATCACATCATGGAGCAAATTTGGATCCATGTCACAGTCGCCATCACCATTTTCATACGACTTAACGGAGGCTTGATCACGTTCCAGTTCCGTAGCACTAGCATCACGTATCTCCCAATGTTCATCGCTGAAAACGCCCTTCTGAGTATCCATCACCTTGGTAGAATTGTCCGCCGGTGGTAGCTCGGAACAGCCAGTTGCTTCATAACTATCCGTTTCACAATCTACTTTAGAAGCGCTCGGATCCATTGGCTGCAAGCAAGTATGCAAAGTATCGTCGCTACAACCACTTGCTGAAATTTGATGATCGTTAGCACATGCTGTAGGATGGGATCATTCCCATTATAATATACAAACCTCTGCTATCGTTGTTCTCGTTGAACAAATCGCTGAGTACGAATGAATCGTCGTCTGACTCGAGGTCTCGAGTGTCGTAAATCGGGGCCATAGTAAATTTTCCAGATAACTGTGGAGAAAATGTATGTTGTAATGAAATATTCACAACATATATTCCCCAATCTTACCGGTACGAATTAATGCACAAAAAACAACGGACCTTTCTTCCTCCTTTACTTCAATAATTGAACAATGAAAATTTCGAGCCTAAAAGCTGCAACGTCTTCTTTTCGTGCCTTCAGCAGATCGTTTTCTCCTAAGTTGTTCGTTATTCGTTATTGAGTATCCGTTGCAACGTTGGAAAACGGCTGCCCACAAAAAAGCACCGCGCTAATCCCTCAACGTCCGTGTAACGCAAAGTGGATAAGCAAGGATAGTACACGCTCAGAACAGATCAATGAGTACAGAGAGAGGTGAAGCAGATCGTGAAATATTGTTGATTGCAAGAGCAAATTTTCATTACGTCGAATGTAACAAAGGTAAACAAAGTCGACCTATCAGTGTCAATCGATTCTCCTGCTATTACACTACACGGTAATCACAACAAACTCTCTTATGACTATAAAGTACGCTCTTTCTTTGGAAAATGGGACTACCCAATAAAGGAGTATACTGTTTTTACTCTCTTTTGCGTAAATTGAATGTACGTCAGAATCTGTATACTTTTTACACCACATAGTAAACTTAAAAATGCGTAGTTTTGACACCCCGAACAAAGTATAAATGCGTAATTTATACTCCCACATGCATAGTTAAATGCATAGTTTTTACATTGAAAAAAAATTATACCTACGATAAAACAAATTTTGTATTTCAAGTTCGTTTCAAATATTGAACATTAGCATTAATATTTATTTATTTATTTAATTAAATGGAATAAATCCTTTCTAGATTTTATTCGCATCAATCGTCAAAACACTTACACCAACCCATCGAATCAGCGGTGCTGCCAACTCCTCCTGGACTCCCAATGGCATCACGTTCGGCGGTTTTTTAACGCCTTTTCTGGACTGTTGTCCCATGATTCGGAGGCATCCACGGACATAATCTACATTTAGATGAAAATTTCATTTAATACGTAATGAATACTCGATGTCCTTTTTTATTCGGTTAAAATTTTTTATTTGGTTAACAATAAAAGTAAATGCTTTAATTACCTGCCAGTGTCGTGAATACGTTCAGTTCCAAAGTTTTGGACAATTCCTCCATTTTCCGCTGACCCACCGCTGACACTTTTAAAGTAATAATCCGGGACCGGGAACTGAATTAAAACGCTGCTTTTCCAATGAACACTGTTTTGAAAATGGCGGCACGTCGCGGCATAAATTTTCTTTTCTCAGCGGAGACTACTTTTTACACATTTTTGTTCGTCGTTGACATACTCGGAAATGCATAAAAAGTACTCTTCATTTGTAACTAAAATCTAAACATTTTTTGACGTATAAACCGTATTCTCGAAAATGTGTAAAACATAGTCATAAAAGGAGTATTCTAGAATTACCGTGTATATACTGTCCGAATATAGGATCAAATCCCATTTTTAAAATTATTAGCCAGTCAAATTGCTTTTTGACGTTATCACCTTCCGATCAAAATAGTTTTCGATGTTACTTAAGTCACCCAATTTCTATGGAGATGCCGTTTGACTTAAGTAACAGCGCTGAGAAACCCGTGAAAAGTGTACGTTCGTCGTTTCGCTTTCTCATAATTAAAGTGAATAAATCGAACTGTTTGTTGCTAAGATGATTTCGGTAGTCCTAAAATGATGAATGGGCTGCACGTAAGGAGACGTAATTGATAATTCTCCCGAATATCCTGGTAAATACACTTTGACTTAAGTAACAATAGGGGCCACCAAACGACGTATAATAACTTTTGACTCAAGAACCAGTATTTTTTAGCATGAAAGCTAGCGATTTGCATTTGTATGATTAAAACCGGCGATTCACTTGTGTATTTTCGATTCAGGCCAACGTATTGATGAACGTATTGAAGTATTTTTTATCGAATAAACGTGTATTTTGTGTAATAATGCATTATTTTGCACTTTTTGAATATATGTAATTTTCTGTGTATTAGAAAAATAAAAGTGTATTTTTATGCATTAATGTATTGAAAATCAGTTATAAGCGTATTCTGTCATTTCAGTGTTTATGTTTGCCACTTGAACCGAGGATCAAACTCACAATGTTGACGTTTTGTTTGATAAATGCAAAACACACGGTTACTTTAAAATGCCCACTAATGAGTAGAATCTAACCCATTTTAAAGAATAGAGACTTATCTTATAAACTCATTCTCGCTCATAACGCATTAATAAGCATCTGTTACCAAGGCTGTTACGCATTAATGAATAATTGTAACTTATTTGTGGGTCACAACTACTCATTAATGTTTTTTATTTAATAAATGATTTAAGCCACCTTTTGTAGTGGTAAGCGTGATTACCTCTCACCCCAGCAGGCCTGGGTTCAATCCCAGTCGGCGCCGCCGGGATGTTCTGAGGCATAACATCTCTGATCACGTCTTCCTTCGGAAGGGAAGTAAAGCCGTTGGTCCCCGGTTCATGAGTTGATGGGTCGATAGGTAGGGTCCAGGTGTGGGAGCTGCCTTCCTGGCGTCGGTAGCATTGGTGCTCAGCACGGAAAACAAGATCGACGGAAAACAAACCAAAGAAAAAAAAAAAAAATAAGCCACCTTTCTTAGAAATGGGTTAAATTCTACTCATTAATGCATTGTTTTGTGATTCGAGCTCGGATTTAAATACAAAATAATAGATTTACGCATTTTGTTCGAATTCAGCATTTTGATTGAACATATTCGAATTTTTCGTGCAAATGACGAATTATCGTGTATTTTTATTATTCGTCGAATAATTGTGTATTTTTTCCGAATTTTGTATTTTTTTGCATTTTTTTGAGTAATGACGAGTAATGATGAATTTTTGTGTATTTTTTTCATTTACGTATTTTCGATTCATTCTCGAGAGCAGTGAATTTCCCCTCGATTAAAACCCTGCTAAATATGTTAAACATTGCTATCACTATGAGATTATATGTGTTTACTTGGAAATAGGAATAACTTTTCGGTCATCAAAACAAAACTTTATTTTTCTCGGATTGGTGCGAATGTTACTTACGACATAATGAAAATTTGCTCTTGATTTTTTGATTACTAAAATTTTTAGTAACCAAAAAATCAACGTAAACGCAAGTACTGACGTCACTAATTGCTTGTATCGTACAGGGGTTTTACTCACACAACTTAACCGATTACTTCACCTCGGTAATCCATCTCATTGAGAACAGATAACCAAAAGCTACACTCAAAGATAAATTAAATCAAAAAAGCTTAAAAAGTATGCAGATTCCCGCTTCACCTTATTGAGTCCGAGCCATGATTACTTCGGCAGTAGCTCGCAGTAGTCATGCATGATTAAAATCGAAATAATCTTTCCAGTATTAAATTTTATTCTTTTTCAATACTGATATATAGTCAAAAAAGATCAAAATTCAATAAAAAAAATATTAAAATAGAATCAAAAATGATTAAAATTTATTCAAAAAGAGATAATCTACTATCTAATCAACCATGATTAAACTGGGAATAATATCAGTTGCTTATTTTTTTTTAGAAAGAGAGGATTCATTTTTAATCATTCGATATGATTAAACTGAGTTTAATGTCAAATTGATTAAATTTCAAGCAAAAGGGGAATAGTTCAATTTATCAGTAGGGGCGACCGCGGCGTAGTGGTTAACATCAATTCCTCTCACGCCAAAGTCACGAGTTCAACTCTCACCCCCGGACAAGTCACGAATGAGCCTAGAGTGTTAAAGTGTTATAATAATAAAAAAATAAATAATTTATCAGTGTACACAGTAAAAAAATGTTGTTGAATATTACATCCAAACAGCTGCACAGAGATCATTCCGCCGGTTGTGTAATATTACCACAAACGAAGTGACAGACGACTAACTGGCAAAGAAATCCATTTAAATAATGTGGTTCACTGTAATAGAATTTTCTTGGAAGCTTGTGCCATCATCCACCAGATGGGTTAGTTTTTTTTGTTTTGATTTGAACAAAGTTGATTTTGTGTACAATGATTCTTTGACAGTGTGCAAAGAGTGCGTATCATCTTGTCATTTTTTTATGAATTTCAGTTTTGAGTAGAGTGAAAGTGATAGAACCAAAACATTCTAGTACTTGGTGAAAATGCTAGTTCAATCTAGTAGTAGTGTTGCCATGTGGTACAATGAAAAATTGCAATAGCAGGTTAGTCACCAAATTTTTCGAGCCGCTCCGTCTGTCACTTCGTTTGTGATATTACGTTGTACAATGTACATCGATTTTGCTAACAAAATTACATCCATTGATGTAATATTGTATCTGTTTTTGCTATTACATCATTATTTCATACATCAGCTTGAATTACGTTGATCGATATTAATTTTTTTTTTCTGTGTAGGTAGTATTTCTTTAGCTACACTCAAAAAAATATACACGGTAAGAAAAAAGTACCCAACGATCAGTTCACTTTCACCTACTTTTGACTACACGGTAAGAAAAAAGTACCCAACGGCCAGTTCACTTTTATCTACTTTTGACTAGTTTGTCTCATTTTCTCCTTCTAATGTTGTCAAAAAAGAAGGAGCAAAACCACCCAACAGGGGTAGTAAAGTGTGGGAACCCAACGTTGGGTATAATCATATTTACCTACAATTGGGTACAACTAACTTACTTTTGGTTAAAAAGCCAGTGGAAAATTCAATACGAAATGCACGCAAGTAAATGAAAATTGCTTTGAACCGCTTTATCTACTTATGGGTTCCTGCACTATAGTGCCGAGATGAGTGAAAAGAACTTAATTTTGGGTCCTTTTTTTTTCTAACCGTGTAGAAATCTAAATAGATTAAAGGTTACGCTAAATCTCAACTCTCCCGCCCGACGCATAGCATGATATAGAGAGAGAGAGTACGAACTTAGTATACACTGAAGCAAAGACCATAGTTAGGGATACTATTTTGCAGAAAACTCCTAGCAGAAAACGGTATTAAGCGTAGTTATGCTGAAAATAACTACGCTTAATACCGTTAAATCTACCATGATTTCAGTATAGTTGACTATACATATAATCAAATTTACTACCATTCTGTCAAAACTACTATGCTTCTCAAACGGCATAGTAACATAGAGATAACTCTAAGACCACTGGGTCCCGAAGAAAATCATTACTATTTTTGGCTCACTCAGTACCAGAACAACGGTCCCAAGCAGTCCCAAGCTATTTCACTCACCCCTGCATGTTCTGCATGAATCCACACACCCCTGATGTTATCTGTCAAACTTTCATAGCGAATCAAAACAAACATAGTGTAGTAATAGAATTTCAACTAGAATAGGGTACGTTAATCGTTTGCTTGGGACCAATAGGCTACTAAAGTGGTGAGCCAATTTAAAATCGTTAGTTTCGTATTGATGTTGATAGTAATGAGAGTGCAATTTACGTTTAGTGTAGGTAATTTTTACAACTGACTTATCCCTCGGCGCGTGAACACTGCTGACAACCTAACTGTCAGATACTACTTCCTCTTCCTTTTTATAGATCATTGTATCAACAAGTCCGAACAATAAACACGCGTTTCTTTGTCAAACTCTAAAACCGAACCGGTCTTTTTCCGATCGGAAATCTCTTTCCGCCCATAGGTTATGGGCCCAGGATCGTTTCCTGTGGCGAACAAAGAACGGATGCATATCCATCAAATGGATGTTCAATCGGCGTCCCTCAATGGAGATCTTGCAGAGGAAATCTATATGTCGCAACCTGAAGGCTACAAAGTAGGAGGAGGATTAGTATGCCGTTTGAGGAAGACGCTTTATGGCCTCAAACAGGCCTCAAAGGTCTGGAATGACCAGTTTGACAGTTTCATCACCAAACTCGGTTTCCAGCGTAGCAAGAATGATTCGTGTCTCTACTACAGAAGCCAACCCTAATAAAAATTGTATGGTTAATTTGCTTAATGACGTGTTCTGGGTATCATCCAAACCATTTGTGGAATAGTTCAATGATTAGGGTTATCGTTCGTTTATGGTTATTTTTTATTAGGGAAGGTAGCAAGATGGTGTTTTTGCTATTATATGTAGACGACATATTGATTATCGGTCACGACTTGAAGCAGATCAAGGTCATCAAGAGCTGTTTGTCG